CCCCTTTCTTTTTTCTTTGGGGCTTAGAAATGGAAAGGGAGGAGGAGGAAGAGTGTCACATTCATTACTAACAACTTTGCACATAATAAGCATGTTCAGCTACACCCTGGGGTGTTCGTTTTCTTTTCCTATTTTTTGGCCCCTTTTTTAGCTGCTTTTGATAAATAGCACATTTTATTTTTGAAAAAAGAATCAGAGCCGTTATTGAGCAGCCGCCCCCTCAAGGAAGGTCAAGAGATTAGAGAGCGGAAGTAGGCTGGCCAGACTCTTTGCTGACCACAGTAAGGGACCGCCACTTTCTTCTCATAATTTACTTTTGAGATTCTGATGAAAAGGCTCCCCCCCTAAAAAAAAAAAAGTTAAACATTGTATTGCTAGAAAATAGCCATCAAAAAAATGATCAATTGAAATTTATGTCTTACAAACAAACCACGTGTGACTAACTGCACGGCAGACATGCATTTGCAGTGATGTAGGGACATTCTGAAAATATGGGCAGGATTTTGGGGTGGGAGTGGGCATTACTGGCTACGAGATTGGTAGACTCTGGTCTAATTTCACAAGTGTCTGAAATTCTAAGCATTGCATTTTACAAGTCAAACAACAGTATGTTAAAAGGAACCTCTGAGTTCAACTTGGGCAACTCTCTCATTTTACCAGTGGAAAAACTGAGGCCTGAGGGTAGAAAACAATGTACCCAAGGTCAAACAGCAAGGGAGGAGTGTCTGGAAGACACAAGCTCAAACTCCCCATCCCCAAACCCATGTTCTTTCCACTGAGCTGAACAGCCCCGTCGGAGGGCAATGGGCAAACTCTCATCCTGAAGGAGGAAGTCTTCTTTGGGAGAAAACTGCACCACCGCCAACACCCTCCACAAATGGCCCTGTGGCCTGCTCCAGGCAGGCCTCGGTTACAGCCTTGACTGACTCCTTCAAAGCATTCTAGACACACCTTTGTGCCTCTGGAGACTCTGCTGCCTGTTCTTTTCTCTGGCTTAAAAAAGTGCCTGGACCATAAATGCCCAAACTACATCTATGTGCATGTCCTAGAATCACTAACATCGGTATCCATAGGCTAAAACTTTAAAAATCACCTTCAATCTCTCTCTCTCTCTCTCTCTCTCTCTCTCTCTCTCTCTCTCTCTCTCATCCTCTCCAATTCCTACCCTTCACTAGCTCTGTAAGTTCTACCTCTGCACTTCACTTTCATTCCCTGGCATCTATTTTTGCATGCCCTCACCAAAAGTGTCTTTCTCCTTGCAGGTTCTCACTTTTTTGATTCATTGTTCACAATGGCTAGACTAGAAGGCTCTTATTCAACTGCACTACTAGTCTCCTCAAACAAACTCCTATCACAAACTCTAGACTCTTTAACATAGCACTCAAGTCCTCCCCAGTCCAGCCCTGGTCTACGTTTTGAGCGAAGTTCCATTAGATCAGCTCAGGACCGTTCATTCCAGTCCTGTCCACTGGACTTCTTATCCTTCCCCAAATAGTCCAGGAGCTCTGTGCCTTGGTTTCCTTCCTGTCTCTTCTTTTCAACCTGCAGGAGTCTCATTCCTCCACATCCATTTCAGATGCAACCTTCTCTATGAATCATCCCTAGGCATTCCAGAAAGATATAATAATTCTTTTATGTTCCCTTAGCAGACTGCTCAGACTTTCAGAAATGGCACTTATTTAGTTCTACCTTATAATCAGTTGCACCTCTCTCACTAAGTAAATCTCTTTTATCTTTGAAAAATGCCTCACTCTCTGTACTCCTCCCCCCATATTGCTTCACCTGATGTTTTACAGATAATAAATTTTTATTTTTTAATATTCATTGAGCACTTACTTGCTTCGAGGCACTAGGGCAGGAAGTGAAAGGCTAGAGGAAGAAGTTTTTTGGGGTTTTTTTTAATGCAATCTCTTTCTTCAAAGGAGCTAATCAGTAAGGCACGATCACAAATAACCTAAGCAAGTGAAATAACTGTGGGGGTGGAATTGGGTGGAGGGGAAGTTCTGCGTGGGGAACAAACATTCTCTGTGTTCCTAAGGAGAGCACTGGCATTATGACTAGAAGGGAGGGGTGATGGGAAGAGGAGAGGGAAAAAAATAGCAAGACTGCTTTTAGATTCCATGTCTGTGCTGGAGTCATTATTAAGGTCCTCTTTAGGTCTGACTGATCTAAGTCATCCTTCCCCCAAAACCAGAATAATTATCCTAAATCAGGACTGATCATTTAGCTCCCTGTTCTAATGTTTGCTGTTCAGCGAATCAAGCATCACATAATTACAGTCGTATGAGAATAGTTATGGAGAATACCAGTTTGTGGAGATGACACAAAATCCAGGAAAAAAACTGAAGAACAAAATGGAAGAACAGTCTGTAAAAGTGCAGGAGGGAGGCACAATAAGAATGATCAGTATGGGTTGAAGCTAATTAAGAAAAATTAAAGAAGAGGAGCCTTTAGTGGATAGTCACTTGGTAAAAAAAATTAGATGTATCAAAAGAACTTTAAACTTGTTTCAATTCTGAAACTCTCCACTACTCTTGGAGGGGGCTTTATTCATTCAATCAATGTATACACATTCAACACACCAACAAAACACTAAATATGTGTTGAGTGCCTTCAAGGTGCCAGAAATTCTTCCAGACAGGAAAAACATACTAGTGGGTAAGAAACTTTGCACTTAAAACTCTTACAATAGAATGCAGATGACTGAAGCTAAATAAGTGCAATAAAATGTAATGGATGTAATGATGGGAGAGTATCAGACACCATAGGACAGGGCACCTAAGAGCCTAAGAGCTAGGAAAATACCCCTGAGATGTGATGTGTAAACCAAGACTCCAAGGCTATGTAGAAGTTAGCCTGACAAAGGGGACTGAACATCTAGGCAGAAGAACACCATATGCAAAGCTCAGGTGTAAAGAGAGAATCTGTCCTGTCCAAGGAACTGAAACATATTGAAACAAAACTACAGCAAGTAGAAAGGTGTTGAGAAATTAGGGTAGAGAAGAAAGCCGGATCAGAGTGTAGAGAATGTTCCTAAGGCATGTCAAGGATTTTATAGTTCATCAATAGGTCCTGGGAAACATTAAAGAAGGTGACACCATGGATCAAACCTACTAAGTATGTAATACAAATGGCTGGAAGAGTGGGTTAATGAAAAAAATGAACTAAAGGATTTCCTTTGCAATGGACTGGGACATTTTGACTTGCACTTGAGTGCAGATTGAATATTCTTTATCCAAAATGCTTGGGACAAGAAGGGTTTCAGATTTCAGATTTTGGAATAGCTCCATATTTATAACGAGATATCTTGGGTCTAGGGACCAAAGTCTAAAAAAGAAAATCATTTATGTTCCATATATACCTTATACACATAGTCTGAAGGTAATTTATATAATACTTTAAATAGTTTTGTGCAGGAAATGTTTTATGTTGTGTAATATTCTGCTTATGGTGTCATGGCTATTGAAGTATTTGACGTATTTTGATTTTCAGATTAGGGGTGCTCAACATGTGTATTTGCTCCAAGAAGTGGTGCAGCTGTGATAAAGGCATTGGCCCCTTAGTTCTGCACAGGAGATTGAGCTCATGACCCCATAAGCAGCCCCTGACCTTAGTCATGTTACTCAGAGTCACCTTGGCCCAGCAGATAGAACATAAAGTAAATCTGCATCAAAGCCAATTTTTCTAGATGTTGGGGTAAAACATTTTACCTGAAAATTATTTAGACTTAAGCTGCAAAGGAATAGTCTGATCCTTTCTTAATCCTTGATGGAAAAAAAATTGTCTTCTGAAACTCAAGGGCATGAATATTCCCAAATGAGATTATTCATAGCAATGCTACGTGAGCAAATAAGTCCAAGGGCAGAAGGGGTGAATAAATACTTCAGAGAGAGAGATTTTTTTTTTACCTTTTTGAAAAAAACAGAAAAGCTAAGATAACTGTGAAAAGCTACATAGTGTTCTTCTCTTGAAAATCCAAGTTTTCTGAGTCACTGAGTCTTGTTTCAGCTCCCAGCTCCAGAATAGCCACCTGTTGGAGTGAGCTGCCAGAGAGCATGGTGTCTCTGGAAAGGGGGATTTTCAAAAATACAAGATCCCATTCTCAGGATTCTAGGTAATTACCAAGCCAAAGATTAACACACTACCCTCTTGTTTACAACCAAGACATTCTCCAGATTTACCACAGAGCCATATTTCAGATTTAGGAGTTGATTTGGCTTCAGGCATAAATAACAAACCAGACTCAGTGCCTGGTAGAAGGGTCCAAAATCATTTCTGACGTCATCAAGGACACTAAGCATTCATTTCCAGAGAGGTATCTGAATAGAGCTTCAGAAAGATTCTTAATGCTGTTGCTAGGGGTGTGTGTGTGTGTGTGTGTGTGTGTGTGTGTGTTATTCATACTATCAGAAAAGCCTTCCTAACACAATCAGCAGCATGCACAGGTCATTGGACATTTTATATCAGACAGAAACATAGAAATGCCTACACATGCAGCTTTCTAGGAAATTCATTTTGTGTGTTTCATTAGTCATGTAAAGCACATCATGACAGAAGCCAGATACACCATCTGTGGATATCACAGAGGAGCATAGAACCTTCCTCCCAAGACAGAGCTTCTCCATCCTAAATCTCATGTCTGGTAACTACTTTTTCATACCAGCTTAGACAAAAACTTGAGCCTACACTGAACAGCCCTGACTGGATTTAGAGCTTCCTTGCAGGGTCCCCTCACTCATGCCGGGGGCATATACGGGATTGCACAGGTGTTCTATAGTAAGGGTATGTGGCCACCACCTGTGTGCTTCTATGGTCCCCAGCAGTGGGCTGGCTGTCCCAGAAGAGCTACAGACACGGATTGCTGGAATAGGATCTTGGTTGCCAAATGACAATTCTTCCCCTGCCTTTTATACAGCAAAAAGCTAACTGGCTGCCTCGCTGTCCTTCTGCATACCTCTGAGTGACAGTCACTTCCGATTCAGTATTGTGTGCCATGGAGCTTGTTCCCACATGCCACCCCGAATGATTCTCACAGATACAATAGGCTAAGCACACGGAAGTCATGGCATCCTTTTCCTACACGCACACAAGCTTGAGAAATCAAGCTGTCCCCGGGCTGCAGTCCCGAGAATACACCTAGATTCTGAGCTGAGCTTTTTCCTCCTCCTCTCCTTATCCCATGCATCATTTGTCTTTTTATTTTGCATTAAAAGTAGCTTAGTGATCATGGACTTCAGCCCTTGCTTGTAGTGATCCTGTTCGCATTTTACTCTTGACACAGAATAGGAAGGAGGTTCGCTTGCTTTGCGCAGAAGCTGAGCCACAGGAGAAAGCAAAGCCAATGTGATTTATTGAATGAAAGCACTGGACAATTATCAACAACTTGTTCCTCTGCTGCCTCGAACAACCTAAGCTGGTAAGTCAAATTTATTGTTGTCTTTCTTCATGTGTGGGGCTTTCTTAGTCACTGATTATTTCTTTAATGTGTTTGTGTTGCTACAGTGTAAATACTAAAAAAAATCTGCATCTTCCAAAGTTAGCTGCAGGCGGTCCACGAAGAATGCAACCAAGCATACACACAGCAGTCTGCAATAGCGCATACACATCCAAGTGGAGGGACAAGGACGGGGGTGGGAGCACCACATTTCTGGTGTCTGATAATTGGGCAATCTCTTTGCAGCAAGCTTAATGACATTGTTTGCATAACTGAATAGCATTAGCTACAAAAAATAAATTGCTCTTTGGTTGTACATAAGCATTTTTCCAGTCAGGTTCCTGAGTACCTACAAAATACCTGTTGGTTCAGGTAAAAGATGGGCCTCACTCAACATGCTGATAATCCTGAATACAATCTCCGGCATGTTACTATGTCTAGTCCAGTTTGCAGGCTGGGCATGCCGAGTGTAAGCCCAGCAGTCTGTCTGTCCCAGATGAGCATGTCCATTAATAACATCATGATCGTAGTGTTAAGGATACCTGCCAGTGGAACATGATGGACATATACTCACTCTCCTTTGACCCACTGGCCCTTTTGGACCTATGCTTCTTAAGTCTTTTCTTTATTCTATTAATTACATGTGTGGTGGAATGCAATGGATTCAAAGTGGGATACTGTAAGTGTCCTCTCAGTTGTGCTGGTTGTTGGCCTGGCTAAGGCCTCAGGGAATACCACTGAAAATCAAGGGTGAGTTTGTTTCTGTAATGAGTTCCATAAATTCCCATACTCTTTGACTTCCTCACTTCCTAAATGAGATGTAAATCAACCTCTGCAGGGGGGAAAAAATAAATGGAGACAGACAATTCTTTTCCCTCCCTGTACCGGTCTCCTTAGTCTTTTGTTTGCCTGGCTACCATGAAAGTTGATGGCAGCATCAATCCATCTCTGGTGAGCTCAGAGTCCATATAAATGTCATATAGAGTTTAATGTCTTGGGTGCACTGTATCTGCCATATATCATGGGTCATACAGATGAAGTTGTAGCCTTGGGTGCTGACAGAGATGGATGATGTTAGAACAGTTAGCAGCATGATTCTCTAAATAAAAACTGAAGTCAGGAAATCTGAGAGATGGGTGAAGTTTTGCCTAGTAGAAAGGATCCTCGTGCCACTTAATCACAAGAGAAGGGTCATTCTCTGGTGTGATTTACTTATTTTACTAATGATGCCATTCTAAAGGGAAGGAGACAAAATTGCCTACTGGTTAGAGGACTGCTGAGATGTCTGGATAGTAAGATCAATTTTGCTGGTTCTCACACTAAGTTTGTGTCTTTGGAAAATTCCTTTAGCCTCTCTGAGTCTCCATTTGCTATCCTCCATTCCTTCCATTCCACATTGTTTCAATGAACACGTGATAAATTCAATTAAAATATGTGTTCATGAGGTACTAGTTTAAGATCTTCAGTTACAGGGTGATTTAGGTAATCAGGATCATTGTCCACACTCCTTAATCCAGAAACTGGCAGAGGAGAGTATATGTGGGGATGAAGGGCTATATGTTCCTTCTCTCAACTAAGGATCAAGAGTACTCGAAAGCACGATCAAACTTCAGAATTAAAGGGCAAACGGATGAAGAGTGGCATTTTAAAAAATCAAATTCACATAAATAGACTATGAAACAATCAGGACCTTTTTCAGTATTGATCAGTAGTAACTGGATTTCTATGCTTATAATTCCAAGATCCTAAAGATTTTCAATATTTTGAAATAAACATACAAGTATTTAGGGGTGCAGTTCAGGTATGGATAGATTGCATGTATAGAACTTAGAACAACTTTCAGTTGCTCAAATTACCCCCACATCCCTACACATGGAATTAGTAGCTAGCTGTAAATGTGCTAGGACTTGAGAAGTTCTGGAATGTTTATTTGCCAAAAAAAAAAAAAATTAGCCCCTCTATGGGGTTACGGTACCTGAAATTCTTTCATTAATGATGCAGTTAGATTTTGCTGTCTTTTGTAGTGCACAAACATTCTTAGAAGAAATAACAAAATTAAGTCATATCATAAATGCATATATTAAAATTTTCTACCTCAAGAGTACTCCAAAGAATGTTAAATTATTAGGTTAATTATTCTGCTTTCTACTTTCACGCTACCTCTCTCCAAGAATTTCCTTTATAATTATTGTTTCACTCTTGATAGGAAAAGTAAGCACTCTTTAGGGCAAGTTATTTCCTTCTTTTTTTATGGAATGCTTGTATTAGACAATACCACCTTGATGTTTTATAGTTCCTTGAGAGTCACATGTGAAATACCAAACTCACTATGCTTTCGCCTTTGAAATTCATGTTTTTTATATCCCTCTTTGATTTGTTTTGTTTAAAATTATTAGTTGATCCATGATGCATCCAGTGGACCAGCAAGGCTCACAGAATTTATCTTCAGGTTTGCCAGTTCCTTTAGCCCCTCTGTCCAATCACTAACACAGTGTGGCCCATTTTACTTCCTTTGTCTTTTCAATCCATCCAGCTCTCTCCATCCCTGTTGTCAAAGCTGTAGTTGAAGTTTCCAGTTCTCACGGTTTTTGTTTCTTTAAGAGATTCATACTTATTTATCCCTATCACTATTCCCACACCCCTTCCCCTTCAAACAGTCCTCTCACTAGTGCAAAATTTCAGATCTCAGCTTTTTAAAAATATCTTTTATTTTTACCTGACACATAATAATTGTACATATTTACAAGGTACAGTGAGACGCTGCAATAATACATGTACAATGATCAGATCAAGGTAACTGGTACATCACTTAAGCTCTCCAGCGCTCCTTGTGCACAGGTTAAAGTCTACGCTTCCTTATCATGTCTGTGATGCTCCAGGTGATTTGACCCTCCTGCCTCTCCAGGTGTCTTCCCCAAAGTCATACCATGGTTGATGAAATGTACCACTGTGCATGTCACAGCCCAGAGAATTCCCATTCTTCCTGCCTCCAGCACTGATCTACCAGCCATCCCATGACCTTCCCCATCTCTGTAGCCTAACCTGAGCTGTTATGTCTGGAATGATCTTTTCCATCTTTGCTGGTTAATTCGTCATTCACCACCCCAAATCTGTTCTCTGGGCTGTTTCTCACCACCTTTCCTGTGAAGCCCTCCCATCTCCCACTAGGTTAACCACTCACCCTTCTGTGCTACTTTTAAGTCTTAGGCTTTTTGAGAGAAATGTTTAAGTCAAAAAATAGATATAGACCCATATTGCCTGTGAGTCCAAGATCTGTGTGCCTCAATTTCTTACTATATAAAATGGAGATACTAGTCCTTCCTTCAAAATGCTAGTATAGGATATAAAAAGTTGATCATATAAAGGCATTGCAGGGGACTAAATGCTTATGCCCCGCCCCTGTTCATATGTTGAAAGCCTAACTCTTAGCTGGATGGTTTTAGGAAGTGAGGCCTTTGGGAAGTAACAAGTTCCTGAGGGCAGGGCCCTCCTGCAGGAATTAGTGCTCTCATAAAAGAGACCCCAGGGAGCTAGCCAGCCTCTTCCACTGTGTGAGGTCACAGCAAGAAGACTCAATGAACCAAAAAGCAGTCTTCAGCAGACACTGACTCTACAGGCGCCTTGATCCTGGGCTTGCTAGCTTCCGGAACTGTGTGATATAAATTCCTGTTGTTCATAAGTTACCCAGTTTATTATAGAAACCTATACAGACTAAAAGAGGCATTATTTTAAATATTGTCTGGCTCACAGAAAGTGGTGGAGGAGTGTATACGATCATTATTATTTCATGATTTCACACACTACACCATTTCATAGTTATATATTTTTATTACTGCCTTCCTTTCTAACTTTGAGCTCTTTGGGGACAGGTAGGGTGACCCATTCATTTTAATTTCTCTAGAATCTTCCCAGTTTTAGCACTGAAAATCTTGCATCTTAGGAACCCTCTCAAACTCAGGCAAACCAAGACAGTTGCTTTCTCTATGTGAGCCACTTACCTTGCTCTGTCGTGGGTTCCCAGGATCTACTACAGATTACACAGGTTACTGAGGAGATCACTGATAAGCATTTGTTCACCTACAGAACTGATATTATCTTTTCACCTTCTTCCCCATAAGTGTGTGCTTAAAACTTCAAAAAATCCGTCCTCTGGGCTGGGGATTTAGCTCAGTGGTGCCGTGCCTGCCTCACAAGAGCAAGGCCCTGAGTTCAATCTCTGGTACCAAAAAATAAAAAAGACCTCTATCTTCTTCCTAGTATGGAGTCACATCTGACATTTTGAAACTTAGTAATGGGAAAAAATATATATATTTATATTTTATATATATATATATATTTATATTTTATATATATATATATATTCTTTCTTTCTTTCCTTTTAAAGGGCACAGGAGCTAGAAAGGCTACTTCCACTCTGTTGTATGTCATCATTATAATAGAACTGGCCACTCTTTAACAATCAAAGGCACACTTGTCATGTTACCATCAGGTAGAGAATGGAAGGGGTCAAACTTTCTTTTCTTTCTAGTGACAGGCAGGTGAAGCCTGAAGTTCCACTAGTTTGCATCCCAGCCTAAGAACAATATTGTCCCAGTCAGAAATGTTCCCTTCACTCAGTGTATGTGTCTACCCAGCTGTCAAGAATGGCTAGAAGTCCCATTTCTAACAGGTTATGTCTTAACAACTGCTTCTCATCCAAACTGGCTCACTTCTTTTTACACAGTGTGAATATACTGAGAAATTCCCACAACCAAGATCTGATGAAACTCAGGCTCTGAAAGTGCCAGAGTTCATAATGAGGACAAGAAGTCTTGTCTTCAGAATCGAGATCTAGGAAGAAGCTAACAGGCAGCCAGGTCAAGCTATCTTAGGAAAAATAATAGCAGAAATAAGGGAATGGGTTTTGGAGTCAGAGTTCAAATCTTGCTGCTCTTTTTTCTAGTTGTAAGGTCATAGACAAGTTATCTAACCTCTCTGGTTAG